CCTTAAATCTACATGGTACTATGCCTAAGTCATGAGCACCCGACTGACCTTGGACATTGTGTAAAACATGAGCCCATATTCATGTGAATTTAGTTGTTAACAATTCTTTAATATATTTTTATTATAAGTTTATAATGTCCTATGCTATAGTTACAAAAGTAAGGCTCTTAATGTCCTGCTCCTGAGTTTTAATTCAAACCAGTTATGTTAATCAATCCATTCCATTTGTTTTTTTAATAAAAATTATTACTACTATTTTCATTTTTAGTTTATATTGATTCTACCTTCTTGAAACATATAATGACTTGGTAAGATGATGGTGACTAAAGTAATATGCTGGCATCTTTATTTTTAGTTTTACATATAATGTACATAAATGAATTGCAGGGTGGTTCAGGTGAATGTAACTGTGGTGGGAAAATTGTTAAAAGGCTATCCGTGAAACCTATTTAAGGAAATACAGTACTTTTCTGGAGTATGGTTAGTACCCATATATGCCTGTTATATAAGAAAAAGTAGATATTGTTGATGCCTATAAATGATGTGTTTATTGTAGATTTTATCATATGCACTGATGGTACATCGTAGAAAATGAGTGGGAGTGTTTACATGTCAAACGTGGCAAAATACAAATATTTTTAGGGAAACAAAATACTAAAGGGAAAATGACAATAAAATACCACCTGAATTCTAAAAGGACAAATAAGGGACCTGAATAAGCAAAATGACATATAGGGGACTGGGTACCAATCTGGAATTCAGATTTTTGGACAAAAGACTAAAATGCCCTGTCTGAAAGTGAGAGGAAGGAGAGAGGAAGACACAGATGAAATACGGGAAGGAGAGAGGAGGAAGACGCTGATGAAATCGGGAAGAAGAGAGGAAGGAGAGAGGAAGACGCTGATTTTCGATGGGTTCCCACAGCTTAAAATTTGGTTTTGTCTCTGTTCTTCGCATAAAACCATTTTCAGAGAATGTGAAGCTGTGGGAAAGATGAACCTATGGGAAAGATGAAGCGAAAATCAGAAAACAATGGCAACCAATTACGTAACGTAACTGTTGTCATATGCCTGCTGGTTTTTGGTAAATCTCATTACGTGAATGGTAAATTTCACTATACATGTAGTAAATTATGAATTTTACAAAATACATATTGTGATTTACAACTTTCGTAGTGAAAATGATCACTTCTTCAATGGGTTTTGCAACATGTTTTCAAGGGATTGGCAACTTGTTTTTAAAAACCAATAAAATTCTATGCTGAATTTTACAAAACATAGAGTAATATTTACAACTTTTGTAGTGAAAATTACCACTTCTTAAATGAATTTTGCAACTTCTTTTCAGGGGATGAGCAACTTGTTTCTAAAAATCAATAAAATTTCACGCTGAATTTGACAAAACCCATAGTGAGATTTACAACTTTCATAATGAAAATGATCACTTCTTTAATGGGTTTTACAACATGTTTTCACGGGATTGGCAACTTGTTTATAAAAACCAATAAAATTATATGCTGAATTTTACAAAACATGTAGTGAGATTTACAACTTTCTTAGTGAAAATGATCACTTCTTAAATGGGTTTTGCAACCTCTTTTCAGGGGATGAGCAACTTGTTTCTAAAAACCAATAAAATTTCACACTGAATTTTACAAAACACACAGTGAGATTTACAACTTTTATAGTGAAAATGACCACTTCTTAAATGGCTTTTGTAACCTGTTTTCAGGGGATAGGTAACTTGTTTCTAAAAACCAATAAAATTTCACGTTGAATTTTATAAAACATATGCTGGGATTTACAACTTTTGTGATAAAAGTGACCGCTTTGTTAATAGATTTTGCAACATATTTTCGGGGGATGAGTAACTTACTTTTCACTACCAATAAAATTTCACGCTGAATTTTACAAAATACATAATGGGATTTACAACTTTTATAGTGAAAGTGACCACTTCTTCAATGGGTTTTGTAAACCTGTTTTCACCGGAAGAGCAACTTGTAAGCATAAATAAATCATTCAGTGAACGTGCACCTGAAGTACATCACAATAAACATTGAACTATTAAGTTTCATAATTAACTACATGTATATTAAAATTTACCATTCACGGAATGGGATTTACCATTCACGGAATGGGATTTACCAAAAACCAGCAAACATATGACAGCAATTACATTACGTAATTGCTTGCGACTATTTTCTGATTTCTGTTTCATCATTCACCAAATACTGAATATGAACCCTCAAATGCAATAATCCTGTTCCTATTTCACCATGAAACAGCCACAAAAATGAATAATCCAAATCCCGCCATCAACTTCTACTCACTCATGAATAATTCAAATACTTCAGCGACCTCTTCGACGACGACAATTTCAGGGGTACAAGTTATTTCCGACAGGGCAATGTATTTCAGCGATGGTAACCAAATTCAGCGATGGCAATCTACTCCTACGACGACGGCAACGTGATTTCGAAAAATCCTTTTTGGTGACTGCAGAAACTTGGATTTAGTTTCGTAGAAGGAAATCAGTTTCTCCCTTTCTCTATCGCATGAATACACTGCTCAATATTCAGAGACAATCAGGGCAATTCGGTCTTTTGGCCAAAAATCTATATTTCAAATTGGTACCCAGTGCCCTATTTGTCATTTTGCTTATTCAGGTCCCTTATTTGTCTTTTTGGAATTCAGGTGGTATTTTATTGTCATTTTCCCAATACTAAAAGAGTTGCTCTGATATCACATGGAGAAATAGAAAAGATAATATAAATTTCTTACGTCTATTCATGATTAGAGAATGGGTATATGTACAAGAGTCAAGAGGGATGAACCTCAATATTAATGGCTGTTAACGACAGAATAATATCTCTAAGAATAATATCTGACCCTATACTATTTAGAATAACAATAGAATATCCTAATATCTCCACTAAAGGAAAATGATGAAGACATTTATGTAACTCTTATATGCTAATTTTAAATGATATGTGATAAACTCATATTTTACTATGTTTTATATGTGATTATTTAGGGGTTTTATTATCTTTTATGAGTTAAATTGCACTAATTACTATCTATTTTGGGATATTGGGTATCACATCATTTTATGAGAATTATTACAGATTTAATGAAGATTTCAGAAATTACATCCAAGGACCAAAGTAATGGTAGAATGGAATTGGTAAAATGACCAAAGGGGACCAGTAGATGCTGTGCGATTTGATAAAGAGGAGCTTGATTCATTCAGCGAGGAGCTTGGAATTCTCCGTCAGATTCTACACTTCATCATCATCATTTTTCTCCCTACACGGACCATCACCATTCTGTCAATCCCCATTTTTCTCCATATTCCTTCGACACCTCTATCATCTTCTAGCATCTTTCATTCTCTCCACCTCCGGTTCCATTCTCTCTTTAATTCTCAACTTCTCCGTCTCATCCACCGCCAACCTGCAACCTCTAGATTTCATCTTCCTTGTCCATTGTTGCAATGGATGATCCTTCAATGGAGCTTGGTGAAGCAACTCGAGACACCATGCACAGCTAATATTCCACCTTCCTAAGAGGTGTGATCGAACTGAAGCCTCTATTCTGACAAGAGAGTCTATCGACGTCCCTAATTCATGATTGATATATAGTTGTATTTTAATTGCGATTCTCGATTGGATTAGGATTGTTTTCTTTAGGATATATTGTAATTAGATTAGTCTTGTTATGAATCTAACGGTGTTCCTTAATAGTGTTCCTTAATACAGAGTAGACTTGATTGCATTATTGAATCTAGTTTGATTTGGTTTTGTAGTTGGGTCAATTAATACGTGATAACTATCGATTGATGTTACCTTGAAAATTTTCGGTTCATTCATTTATAATCCGACGCTTCCATTCCTCTGACCACAATCAACTCTATTTCTTATTAGGCTAAGAAGGTTAGGTTGCCACTCTTAGGAAGATTATCATCACTGCATTTCGCTTATTCCTACATTCCTGCCACAATCACTCATCACTCATCTTAAACCAAAAAATCAATATAAAAAGTAGAATAGATAGTTAAATCAATTAGACATAATCAAATCACTTCCACTATTAGTAATTTGCAAAAGCATTTAATTAACAAAAATCCTGAACAACAAGCCTTCTTGTAAATCAACCTAGAGTTGAGCCACTGCATTTCTAAGCTTAATTCTAGTATCTTTGAGTCCTAACAAGGCCTATCAAATTGGTAGTAATGTGAAGAGCCAACTGATATTGTATATATCACAATTACCTTTAAATTAAATTGTAAATTACTATAAACAATATCAATCGATAAGGTAAATATACGACTTAACTGCTTCTCATTTCATGATTCAACCAAGTAATCATTGAAGAGTTGTAGGCAAAATAGCAATATATCACCATAAAATTTTCATTATACGTCGTGTAACCATGTAATCATTTTTAGAGTTGTATATGTTAGAATCCCGTGATATTCTCAGAATCCCTATCCATGATTTTAGCTACAAGATCAATCCCTGATTATGTGCTCTGTATCTCTAATTAATTGTAATTCAATTTTGATTGATTGTAACCGGATTCTCTCACCCATCCGGACTCTATATATTGTAGCCTATCATATGAAATAATAAGAGGGTGAATTACTCAAAATAATTACTCATGGTATCAGAGCAGTGGGTTCGGCCTGAACCCAAAATCCCGTCCTGAAACGCCGCCGGAAAACGGAGAGAGAGAGAGAGCGAGGAGAGAGAGAGAGTGAGACGTCCTCAGATCTGAAGCCAGGAGCAGGACGTGACCGACACCACCCCTCCAGTCTCACCGGAAACCGCCGATCGGCGCATCCCCAGAAGCCGGCGTCAAACGGAGCCGCGCGTGAAGCCCACGCGCCGTCGCCAGCTCCGCCGCAGGATCTTTTCGGCCCAGAAGATGAACCCATCAGATTTTCCACCTCTTTTTGGGTCTGTTCGCAATACCCCAGTCACCAAAGGTACCGTTCCAATGGGTCTTATGTCCGGCACCTCCTCAAATACTCAAGGTAACTCTCCTTCACCAATGGCCCCCTCTAGAACATCTGATTCAGTGTCAGACTTGACAACAGCCACTGAACCTCAAGCTATGGTGGTGGCTCACAAACTGAATGGCAGCAACTATCTCCAATGGTCTCAAAGTGTATTAATGTATCTTCGTGGGAAGCGTAAGGAGAAGTATATCAATGGAGAAGCAAAACAACCGGCACATAATGATCCTAGTTTTGACACCTGGTTCGCTGAAAATAATCAGGTGATGTCTTGGCTATGCAACTCAATGACTCTCGAAATTAGTGAGGGATACCTCCTTGCAAGCACAGCCAAGGAGATCTGGGATGCTGCTAGACGCACTTACTCTACATTAGACAACACTGCTGCCTTGTTAGATCTGAGGAGGCAACTCAAGGATCTAAAGCAAGGAAACTTGACTATAACACAATACTACAGCACCCTGATAAAGATATGGCAGCAATTGGACCTCTTTGAAGTACATCCGTGGAAGAATATTGATGATGCCAATTACTACAGACAACTAGTTGAAAAAGGTCGAACTTATGACTTCCTATTGGGCCTGAATGATGTTTTTGAAGAAGTAAGAGGCAGAATTATGGGTCTAAAACCTCTTCCATCCCTATTTGAAGTCTTCAGTATGGTTAAGTTCGAAGAAAGCCGAAGACACCTCACTCAAGGTAACCAAACTCCAATAGATGGCTCCGCATTAGTTACAAGAAGTTCCCAAACATCAGAGAGCTCTGAAAGAAAAGGGAACAAGTGGTGCAATCACTGTAACAAGAAGGGCCACACCAGAGATGAATGCTGGAAACTGCATGGAAAACCAAACCCAGGGAGACAGAAACAACGACAAGATGGAAAGAGCCACCACACCTCCTCCGAGGAAAGAAGTGATGATGGAGACCACTTTGACCAGAGAAGAACTTCAAATGCTTCGTAAGATGCTTGAAAAGCAAAACAAATCAAAATCAGTTCCCCACGTAAACTTGATCCAGTCAGGTAATTCTATTATTGCCCTTAATGCAATGGTAACTAGTGATGAGACATGGATTGTTGACTCAGGTGCGACAGACCACATGACTGGTAACAAGTCCCTCTTCAAAACTCTCAAATACTCCCATGAGAACCTTAGAGTAAAAGTAGCAACTGGCCTATATACTAGAGTTGAGGGTGTTGGCACTGTGGCTCTTTCTGATGATCTGGAAATTCATAATGTTTTGTTTGTTCCTGCTCTCACTTGCAATCTTATATCTGTGAGCAAATTGACTAAAGGACAAGTATGTCGGGTGATTTTTGATGATGTTAAATGTGTTTTTCAGGATTCGACCTCGGGGAGGAAGATTTTGACTGCTAAAGAATAGGATGGACTCTACTACTTTGAAGGAAAGGATATGAAGACTAAAGAAGCAAGGAAAGCTATGGTTAGCTCCAATTCTCAAAATAAAAATGTAATGTTGTGGCATCAAAGATTAGGCCACCCCAGCTTTGATTATATGAAGCATGTGTTTCCAACTTTATTCAATAAAAATTCTTCACCTTTCCAATGTGAAACTTGTCAAATTGCCAAACAAACTCGTGCGTCTTATCCCAAACATATTTACAAACCCACTACACCGTTTACGATGATCCATACGACATTTGGGGACCAGCCAAAACTAAAACCCGAACAGGCACAGCGTGGTTTATTACATTCATTGATGATCATACCCGGGTTACATGGGTGTACCTCATGAAAGAGAAATCCGAAGCCTTACAAATCTTCAAAAACTTTCACACCTTTGTGAGAACCCAATTTCAAACTCCCATCAAAGTTCTGCGAAGTGACAATGCTAAAGAGTATATGAGTGGAGCCTTTAGGGAATTTCTTGAACAACAGGGAATCTACCACCAAACCTCATGTGTCTATACTCCTCAACAAAATGGAATTGCCGAGCGAAAGAATAGACATCTCTTAGAAGTAACCCGAGCCATTATGATGGAAAGAAATGTTCCCAGCCTGTTTTGGAGAGACGCTGTGCTAACCGCAGCCTACCTTATCAATCGAATGGCCTCCAAAATTCTCAATTTCAGTACCCCTATCCAAAAACTTCTTGAGACCTACCCAACCTCACCTATCATCAATACCATCCCACAAAAGGTCTTTGGGTGTGTTGTCTTTGTCCATAAACATGATGGGGGCAAACTGGGTGCTAGAGCCGAAAAATGCATTTTCCTCGGGTATTCCTCCATCCAAAAAGGTTATAGGTGTTATTGTCCCTCTACTAGAAAACTCATAATCTCCAAAGACACCGTCTTTTATGAGGATGATGCATACTATCCCAAATTACCCATTCAGGGGGAGAGTGATAGAATAGAATGGCTAATTACACCTGAACCTAAAACCAACTCACATCTTAACCCTCCTGAACCCTCCATACCACAAGAGGAAATACCTGAACCTGAACCAGAACAGCCCAAAAGCCCCACAAACAACCCTCACACAATGGAAACAAATGCTGAGATTGATGCAGGGGTGACAGAGCACTCAGGGTCTCAACCAGGAGAACAAGACAGGAGTAGTAGGGTTCCTTCCATTCCAAGGCAGCAACATGATTCCAATCTGGAGTTGGATCCTGAAGAGCTAGGATGGCCTATTGCACTTAGAAAGGGGGTAAGGTCATGTACTCAGCATCCTATTCAAAGATTTGTCTCTTACGGCAATTTGTCTACTAGAATGCAAACCTTTGTGGTGAATAGCTCACAGGTAAAAGTTCCAGAGACATTTCAACAGGCCATGAAAGATCCTAATTGGAAATATGCAGCATACGAAGAGTTGAAAGCCTTGGAGGATAATAACACATGGGATATTACCACACTCCCTGAGGGGAAGAAAGCAGTGGGTTGCAGATGGATCTTCACCCCTAAGTTCAATCCCGACGGAAGCATCAACAAGTACAAAGGGAGATTAGTTGCAAAAGGGTACACACAAACTTATGGGATTGATTATCAAGAAACGTTTACACCAGTGGCAAAGTTCAATACCATCCAGGTACTCCTATCCCTAGCCGCCAACCTTGACTGGTCCCTTCATCAACTGGATGTAAAGAATGCTTTCCTAAATGGAGACTTAGAGGAGGAAGTATACATGGAAGTCCCAGATGGAGTAATAGCTCCACCCAATTCGGTTTGCAAACTGAAGAAGTCATTATATGGCCTGAAACAGTCTCCACGAGCATGGTTCGATAGGTTTGCCAAAGCAATTAAAAGATTTGGTTACAACCAAGGTCAAGCTGACCATCCCTTTTCATCAAACACAGTGCTGGAAAGGTAACGATCCTAATTGTGTATGTGGATGATATAGTCATAACTGGTGATGATGAAGCTTCTATCACTCAACTCAAGAAAGCCCTGGCAAGGGAATTCCAAGTAAAGGACCTAGGACAAATGAGGTACTTTCTTGGAATGGAGGTTGCTAGATCTAAAAAGGGTATAAGTGTGTCTCAACGGAAATACACACTTGATTTACTCCACGAAACAGGGATACTTGGGGGTAAACCGAGTGAAACACCTATGGAAGAGTCATGCAATCTGGAGGTTAAACCAGAAGGAGTACCAGTTGACGCAGAAAGGTACAGAAGACTTGTGGGAAAACTAATCTACTTGACCCATACACGACCTGACATCAGCTATGCAGTTGGCGTGGTAAGCCAATTTATGCACCAACCTCAGGAAGAACACATGGAAGCAGTGTATAGAATCCTGACCTACCTCAAACTCAATCCTGGAAAAGGAATATTCTTTAAAAGGGGAAATACAAGACACATAGAGGTCTACACTGATGCAGATCATGGGAGAGCTGTGGATAACAGGAGATCTGTCACAGGTTATTGTACTTATGTTTGGGGAAACCTTGTCACTTGGCGGAGCAAGAAACAGACCGTGGTCTCAAGAAGCAGTGCTGAAGCTGAGCTGAGAGCTGTAGCACTGGGGGTATGTGAAGGAATGTGGGTGATCAGACTCCTAAATGAACTAAGAATTTCCTATGAAGGCCCAGTGAAACTTTGGTGTGACAACCAAGCTAGTATTGAAATGACAAAGAATCCGGTGTACCATGACCGAACAAAACATGTCGACATTGATCGGCACTTTATCAAAGAGAAAGTAGAAGGGGGTATCATCAACTTGAACTATGTGCGCTCATCTGATCAGATTGCTGACATCATGACCAAACCTTTGGCCAGAGTCAAGTTTGAAGGGCTTCGAAGCAAGCTGGGAATGGTTGACATCTACTCTCCAGCTTGAGGGGGAGTGTTAGAATCCCGTGATATTCTCAGAATCCCTATCCATGATTTTAGCTACAAGATCAATCCCTGATTATGTGCTCTGTATCTCTAATTAATTGTAATTCAATTTTGATTGATTGTAACCGGATTCTCTCACCCATCCGGACTCTATATATTGTAGCCTATCATATGAAATAATAAGAGGGTGAATTACTCAAAATAATTACTCAGTATACATTTTCTTCACATAATCTAACTTTTTCCTTTTGTTCTACACTCTGAGAAATCACGATCGTAACCCAAACTCCATCAACTTTTCACACTTTTCTTGTTATCCCCTACGATTTCTACATATCATCTCAATCTCTAGTCTACATTTGCCAAAGGGATGCCATGGTCTAATCAAAACTCATGAACTATAGTGAGATGTGGGTCAGATTTGCAACAAGATGGATTAGGATAAATTTATCTCCTCATTTTTCTCATTCTTTAAAATTCAACATTATACTGGCTGAGCTGGTTAAGCTTGTTTACATGGATTTTCATTACCTACCCGGCCTTGCTCTCAGTCAATAGTTCAGTCATCCACCCCAAACAAGGAGACTAGCAAAGATCACAATTATGCACTAACATTAAGCTCTGTTCTTGAAATACTCCTGAAATGATGAAAGCCAGAAGTGTGAGTGAGAAAAGGCATTCATGGATGAAAAAAATTCCATGGGATAGTCAGTTACCTCAAACCAGATTCTGAACCAAGAATGATGCACCTGAAACTCCAATTTTTTGGGACCAGCCAGAGACTCATTTACACTAGAACTCGTACAATACCTCACACAAACCCTGGTATTTTTCAAAATAACATTATTTAGAGCAAAATAAAGTTTCATAATATAGTCCTAAAGTAGCTTAATAAGTGGCCGCAAATATAATAAATCAGATTTTTTTTTTTTTACCCTACAACAAACTACATTTTTATAAAGAAAGAATGTAAAGATCAGCCAATAAAATTTGGCTCAGTGGCATCTCTCTTATCTCTAAAACTGAAGGGTTTGAGTTCAAACTCAATCTATATAATCTGTTAGAAGCCCTTGATCTCCTCCCTGATTTTCTCTCCTTATTCTCTCCATTAATTACCCATGATTCTAGCTAGGCAATAAATTCCTGATTTCTTGTGATATTGCAATATCTTTCAATTATTATTTGATTGTAACCGGATGGTATGAGACTCTATAAATTGTACCCACATCATATGAAATAACATGCTAGAGTGAATTTTCAATACTCTTTAAACATGGTATCAGAGCGTGTGAGCCCAGAAAGGGTCCTGGAGAGTCTGCCGTAAGCCAGAGAGAGAGAGACGGCGAGGAGAGAGAGAGAGAGAGAGAGTGAGGCGTCCTCAAAACTGGAACCAGAAGTGGTCCGTGGACGACACCACCCCTCCAGGCCTCACCGGCGTCCCCAGATCGGCGCGTCCCCAGAAGCCGACGTCCAACGGAGCTGCGCGTGACTCTCACGCGCCGTTACAAGCTCCGCGCGTGAATCCCACGCGCCGCCGCGCCCCGCCACTGTACCAACGCGTGCCGCCCACGCGCCGCCGCCAGAGACCTCCAAGTACCTCCCAGAGACCCAGAAGATGGATAACCCAGAATTCCCACCACTTTTTGGGTCTGTTCGCAATATTCCAAGGGTCCTCATGTCCGGTACATCTTCAAATACTCAAGCTACTCCTTCTTCACCAGTGGTTACTCCTTCTTCAGACTTGACAATAGCCGCTGAACCTCAAGCTATGGGGGTAGCCCACAAACTTAATGGAAGCAATTATCTCCAATGGTCTCAAAGTGTATTAATGTATCTGCGTGGGAAGCGTAAGGAGAAGTATATCAATGGAGAAGCAACACAACCTTCACATAATGATCCCAAATTTGATACCTGGTTCGCTGAAAATAATCAGATGATGTCTTGGTTGTGCAATTCAATGACTCTCGAAATCAGTGAAGGATACCTTCTTGCAAGCACAGCCAAGGAAATCTGGGATGCTGCTAAGCGGACCTACTCTACCCTCGATAACACTGCAACCTTATTAGATCTAAAGAGGCAGCTCAAAGATCTGAAACAAGGCAACTTAACTGTAACTCAATACTACAGTACGTTGACAAAGATATGGCAACAACTGGACCTCTTTGAAGTACATCCTTGGAAGGATATGGATGATGCTAATTACTACAGACAATTGGTGGAGAGAGGAAGAACATATGACTTTCTGTTGGGCCTGAATGATGTTTTTGAAGAAGTGAGGGGGAGAATTATGGGACTGAAGCCGCTGCCATCCCTATTTGAAGTCTTCAGTATGGTTAAGTTCGAAGAAAGCCGAAGACACCTCACCCAAGGTAGCCTGACCGCAGCAGAGGGCTCGGCATTGGTGACGAGGGGGTTCCAGACATCAGAGGGCCCTGAGAAGAAAGGGAACAAGTGGTGCAACCACTGTAACAAGAGAGGCCACACCAGAGATGAATGCTGGAAACTACATGGGAAACCAACTCAAGGGAAACAGAAACAACGGGAAGATAGAAAGAGCCACCACACCTCCTCTAAGAAAAAGGTGATGATGGAGACCAGTTGACCAGAGAAGAGCTTCAAATGCTTCGTAAGATACTTGAAAAACAAAACAAATCAAAATCTGTTCCCAACGTGAACTTGATACAGTCAGGTAATTCCATTATAGCCCTTAATGCAATGGTAACTAGTGATGAGACTTGGATTATTGACTCCGGTGCTACAGATCACATGACTGGTAATAAGTCCTTCTTCAAAACCCTCAAATATTGCCATGAGAACCTTAGAGTAAAAGTGGCAACTGGACTGTATACTAAAGTTGAGGGTGTTGGCAGTGTGGCTCTATCTGAAGATCTGGAAATCCATAATGTTTTGTTTGTCCCTGCTCTTACTTGCAATCTTATTTCTGTGAGCAAATTAACTAAAGGGAAAGCATGTCGGGTGATATTTGATGATGTTAAATGTGTTTTTCAGGATTCGACCTCGGGGAGGAAGATTTTGACTGCTAAAGAATGGGATGGACTCTACTACTTTGAAGGAAAGGATATGAAGATAGCAGGAGCAAAGAAAGCTATGGTTAGCTCCAACTCTCAGAATAAAAATGTAATGTTGTGGCATCAAAGATTAGGCCACCCCAGCTTTGATTATATGAAGCATGTGTTTCCAACTTTATTCAATAAAAATTCTTCTCCTTTCCAATGTGAAACGTGTCAAATTGCTAAACAAACTCGCGCCTCTTATCCCAAACATACTTACAAACCTTCCACCCCGTTCACAATGATCCATACCGACATTTGGGGACCAGCCAAAACCAAAACCCGAACAGGCACAAAATGGTTTATCACATTCATAGATGATCACACCCGGGTCACATGGGTTTACCTTATGAAAGAGAAATCCGAAGCCCTACAAATTTTCAAAAACTTTTACTCGTTTGTGAGAACCCAATTCCAAACTACCATCAAAGTCCTGAGAAGTGACAATGCCAAAGAGTATGTGAGTGGAGCCTTTAGGGAATTTCTTGAGCAGGAGGGAATCCATCACCAAACCTCATGTGTTTATACTCCTCAACAAAATGGAGTTGCTGAGCGAAAGAATAGACACCTTTTGGAAGTAACCCGAGCTATTATGATGGAAAGAAATGTTCCAAATCTGTTTTGGGGAGATGCTGTACTAACCGCAGCTTATCTTATCAACCGCATGGCCTCTAAAATTCTCCACTTTAGTACCCCTATTCAAAAGCTCCTCGAGACTTACCCCACTTCACCTATCATCAATACCATCCCTCAAAAGGTCTTTGGGTGTGTCGTCTTTGTCCATAAACATGATGGAGGCAAACTAGGTGCTAGAGCAGAAAAATGCATTTTCCTCGGGTATTCCTCCACCAAAAAGGGGTATAAGTGTTATTGTCCCACCACCAGAAAACTTATAATCTCCAAAGACACAGTCTTTTATGAGGATGATGCTTACTATCCCAAATTACCCATTCAGGGGGAGCACTATGGAGTAGAATGGCTAATTACATCCGAACCTATAACCATACCACCTCAAGACAACATCCCTGAGCCGGAACGGAACCAAAAACCCCTACTACTATACCTTCTCCAGAACACCAAAACTCCACAAACACCCCTCACCCAATGGAAACCAATGCTGAAATTGATGCAGGGGTGACAGAGCACTCAAGTCCTCAATCAGGTGAACAGGACAGTAGTAGTAGGGTTCCTTCCATTCCAAGGCAGCAACATGATTCCAATCCGGAGTTGGATCCTGAAGAGCTGGGATGGCCTATTGCACTTAGAAAGGGGGTAAGATCGTGTACTCAGCATCCTATTCAAAAATTTGTCTCCTATGGCAATTTATCTGCGAGAATGCAAACTTTTGTAGTGAATAGCTCACAGGTGAAAATTCCAGAAACATTTCAACAGGCTGTAACAGATCCTAATTGGAAACATGCTGCATATGAGGAGTTGAGAGCCTTGAAGGAGAATAACACGTGGGATATCACCACACTTCCTAAGGCAAGAAAGCAGTGGGTTGCAGGTTCACCCCTAAATTCAATCCTGATGGCAGCATCAACAAGTACAAAGGAAGATTAGTTGCCAAAGGGTACACCCAAACCTATGGGATTGATTATCAAGAAACGTTTGCTCCTGTGGCAAAGTTCAACACCATCCAGGTACTCCTGTCCCTAGCTGCCAACCTTGATTGGCCCCTACATCAGCTAGATGTGAAGAATGCTTTCCTAACGGAGATTTGGAGGAGGAAGTGTACATGGAAATTCCAGATGGAGTAATAGCTCCACCCAACTCAGTTTGCAAATTGAAGAAATCATTATATGGGTTGAAACAATCTCCACGAGCATGGTTCGACAGGTTTGCCAAAGCAATCAAAAGGTTTGGCTACATTCAAGGACAAGCTGATCACACTCTTTTTGTCAAACACAGTGATGGAAAGGTAACGATCCTAATTGTGTATGTGGATGATATAGTCATAACTGGCAGTGATGAGGTTTCTATCTCCCATCTCAAGAAAGCCCTAGCTAGGGAATTCCAAGTGAAGGACCTAGGCCAAATGAAGTACTTTCTTGGAATGGAGGTTGCTAGATCCAAAAAGGGTATAAGTGTGTCCCAACGAAAGTACACACTGGACTTACTCCACGAAACAGGAATACTTGGGGCTAAACCTAGTGAGACTCCTATGGAAGAGTCATGCAATCTGGAAGTGAAACCAAAGGGACACCAGTTAACTCAAAAGGTACAGAAGACTTGTGGCAAACTA